GTTGTGGGGGGGGGGGGGGGGGGGGGGTAATAATAATGAATTTCCGTGCGACCTGAATTTTGGACCTGGATTCCTCCCTCACTGATCACCACTTAAAATGGCTTAATACTGTGACAAAATGCACTGTAGACCAGGGAGATCGGCAGTTACTTCTATTCAGGGGGACCCAAGTGATCGCGGACTGGGAACTTCCTGGGAAAAAACTACAATTCAGCAATTGTCGAAATGTATGGACCATTTGCACTGACTGAACGTACTATACACTCATACACATCTAGGCTATATGCTAAACACATAAAATAATTTGACCTAATAATTACGTGGGACACGATATCTTAAAGTTATTGATGTTATCAAGGTGTTAAGGATACGCATTAAACCGAGATTTTGTTGACCCCATTCGGATTTTATTGCGTAATAACTTGTTGATAATAGTAAATCAGAATGGTAAAATGTAAAGTGGAAGAATGGCTTTCAGAATCTGTATATACTGATTACATCCAATGGGCTTACAATATATTATGTACGTATGTACGAGGAGGTAATTGTTAATAAAGGGTTGTAGAATGAATAACAATATTTTGCTATCGCCTGTGGCTCTCAGGACCTTTTTTAATCTTTTTATAACGCTGACATAGATGCTTCTTATTGTCGGAGGGATTTTGTAGGTTGTTCAACGACACTCCAGTTAAATCGGACAATGATTACGTAAAGTCAAGTGGAACTTGTTAGAGAGGAAGTTCTTATGTATTTTTGCAAGTTTTTATTGTTTTATTCTAGGTTTATTTAACAACGCCTTTCAACTTTATATGGTAGGATAAATATATGAGCGATGAATCGGGAAGGACTTGGAAGGAAGCGATTGTGGTCAACTTTCTCAGCATTTGTCTGCAAGGACCAATAAACACAAAGAAACATGTCAGTCAAGATAACCAGTGACCACGGCGAGATTCGAACCCGACCCTCCACAAAACGAAGCAAAAATTCTGAACACTGTGAACACTGGAATTAAATCCTATAATTTGGACATTTATAAGTAGATTGTATGTATTAGGCTACTTTTGTAAAACGTTGTGGCTGACAATATAGTTCCTCAACCAACATCATCTCTTATGTTTTCGAAGAATAAATTGACAAAATCAACACGGACAGGAAGTTTATATTTTGTACCCAATTCCAGTCCCCTTGATTACTTTAGACCTTTCTAAAGGCATATTTTGGTGCGAAGTTGAAAAGCAGTGACGATAAGTAATCTCCATTTTTCAAACTACTCTGAACAGGAAGTGTATCAGACAGTGTTGAATCATTGCTTTAAATAACCTGAGATAAGTCGGCGTCCAAAAATGTATGAAACTAATTTTAAAACGAACAGTCTTTATAAACAAGGAACTTATTCATTATAGAAGACATTGACGATAGTGTATTGTAATAGTTTTTGCTTAAATTTTGTACGTTATCCATCGTCTGTTTCTCTTAATACGACGTTTCGGGAACTGGATATATCACCGTCATCAGGTCTCTGGTCAACGGATGAGGACTCGCCCCTTGTAGGGGGCCCGCAGAGTAGGAACCCCTTGTACCCCTTATTTTACCTGATGACGGAGACAGATTATAATTTTCGTCGATTTATGCTTGTGGGAATGGGAAATAATGATGAGGACAAGTTCGTGAAGATAATTCCAGACATCCTATATAATTTAATGCAGTAAGTAAGCAATGCACTTTTAGCGACGAAAGATAATGGGCTCATTTTTCAATACGACATCTTGTGATATAGATATTGAGTTTTGTGATACGAATAGAAACACTGTCTGGGGTAGCAATTTTCGTGATATTTTAACAGAAGTAGACTGGAACTGAGAAAGTAAATCTGAAATCCATTGCACATCTAAAACCAGTTCAAGTTTTGATGATGTACATAGTAAACTCACTATTTCCTGGTATTTAATTAGAAAACGAGGAATGTCCAAACTGTTTACAACACGTGACTTTTGTGCATGTAATATTACGTAACTTCAGTTGTACTATGTTTTTAGTGTCGCAGTTAATTACCGTTTTACCTACTTTTATAGTTTTTCCCCGTAAAACAACGTTCACCATAGGAAATTATATATGGACATGTGCCCATTACTTTCACTACTTATATATTTGCTTATCCTCATTGTCACCCCTCTCCCCCTTAACGATGATTACCTCCTGGAAACTGAAAAACACAGTTTCCTACTTAAGCTATAATTGAAGAGGAAATGTCTTTTTCTTGCTTAGACCTGTGTGCTGATAATGAAGTGTAGCCTTGTACCTAGTAAAATTGGCATGTGACTGTTGGTCAAGTTTACTGTAAAGAACATTTTTGAAGGAGAATGACTAACCGTGTATCCACGTGCAAGCGTATTTCGTTCCCCTAATCGTAAAACTTAGCAGATAAGTCTATCAAAGAAATGTAAACATATGGAATATGCAGACTACCAAGTCAATATTAACAAGCTAGCCGCGTTATCTTGTGGCGAAGAAATTAGTTTCACGCAGATGCAGTAAACAGATATTACATTTTACAGAGAACTTTGGGTTTCCATGGAAGTATTCATAAGTTGCTGATTAATGTTGTTAATGAAGAATAAAGTAGTTGAAAATGAACTTCTTCAAACATCTAAAATAAAAGAAATACTGAAGACTTGTACGTCGGAACAGCGCAGTTAGGAATGTGAACAGCTACCGGCTGGATTATCGAAGTCCGATTCCTGGGAGAGGAAAGAATTTTTCTTTTTGTCATCACGTCAAAACCGGCTTCCATGAAGTAAGTTGTTAGGATAGTTTACCAGGGGTAAAGTGGCCGGAACGGAGCTTGTATTTCATGTGACGAAGTACAAAATTCGTGAATCTGTTTTCAACGTAACAGCTGCACGCCTAAAACTTGATACTCCAACCGCTTACCATGATTAAGGTGTTTCTAATCCCTACCGATAAGCTGATAGAATCTTATAACGTGAAGTTCTGTGCGGTACATTTTGCACATTAATTTCAGACACTCCGGAACAAACCATTTCTTCAAATGGATGTCTCAAATTTGCATTCGTACCATTTATCTTAATTTGAGCCATTAGTAATGAGCTTTATTCTTGAAAGCAGAGTTTCATTCATAGGCTGTAGCAGTTCCTATTCGATTATTCTAACACAGATCATAAGCAAGGGGATCAGAGGGGCGGGAGAGGCTGCAGATAAGGAAACACGTCGATCTACTGCTCGTGCCATGCACATTTTCCAACTACAGTATTTCGTATATCGCTTTCTCATTTCTTGCGTCGATAATGTCTTTGGTTTGCATAGTATGTCCATTTGTTTTCCTTTTACTAGCAAGCTAGTGACGTAGGCGAGACTCACAGTTTGGTCCTGGTTACGGAGGAACATACTGCCTGCCTCCACAAGGCTCTAACACCCAGGGGATGAACATAGTCGTGTCCATTGCCGTCAGAACTTATTTCGTAATTTTGTTTGGTTTGTAGGTGTATGGACCGTGGTCTCTTATTCTTAAGACGGCAGGGAAAAATGTGCTCCGTAAGGGCCTATTTAGACGTAGTGTGATGAAGTATGGGCGAAATTTATGTAATTTCCACGACGAGGCATTTTGTGCATTTATACGTGGTCCATTGTATTGAATTCAGGGAGGATTGGAAATGTGGAAATATGACTATAGTAGTCGTCACCAAATCGCATGCTTAAGGTCACGGAACGACCTGCCCTCTCCTCTCCTTGTCATACGGACCTGACTCTCAAATACAGCGTTGCTTTTCTCCAGGCACTGTGTAATCTTCACTTGTATAGGCTCTGCTGTTTGACTTTACGTCTGTTTGGAACACTAAGAACGAAATTAGAGGATAACATTAAGACGTATCTTGAACTGGCTCAGGATCGTAACCTGTGGTGTAGTTTGGTTGTTACAGGTGGTGTAACTTTTACGTTCTGTTGCCTTAAACAAGGTTATTTGGTCGAGGTTTAACAACTAACGAAGCAGTTACAAACAACTGACTCCGTTTTGAAAAGTTTATTGAGGGCAAAGACAACGACAATTAAGGCTTATATCGGACAAAACCACAATCTTAACGGTTACATAACCACCAAAACTGCCGATTGATGATTAAGTGCGGAACACGAATTATGCACATAATTAGTCTACTCCGCCTCGGCATTTCCTGTGTTATCATTGATTTACAGTAGGTACAAGCAGGTGGCAAGTCCTGACCTTGGGAATTTCTTAACATCAACTGTCGTTATCTGACGCCCAGTGTAGGGAGCATGCGGTCTTGGGCCTTTTAAATACAGCCCAAGGTTTCGAAATTCTTATGATGAAAGCATGTTCGCACTTTATGTGTGCTTGTTAGCCTGTACAAGTAATGACTACTCTCTGATCTTGTATCCAAGGAAGTGAAATTATCGCATCTAAATTTAGAGTAGATAACACATTTACAACGACAGTTGTTAAATTATTTTGATACTGCACTCCATTACGAAAACCAGGAGGAAACACACGTGTTGAAGAAAGCCCTGACTTGTGGAGAAAATCTTATAATGTTGACAATTCTTTATTCTGAATTTTAGTGAAAATTTCATCAGTGGCGTTCGTTTTGTCAACATATGGCACATAAGGAGAAGTGATGACGAAAAGGGGGGGGGGTCTCCGCTGTCTTATATTTTCCTGCTCAACGTTTCTGAAGGTCCAACTATGTTACGGATAGACTAAATCAATTATTTCAACAGTTGTTTGATTTACTTAGTAATATTCTTGTTGTTGCAATGTCAGGTGACGCAGAAATCCGTTTTATCTTGAATCCACTCTGAGTATATGATGGAATTATAATATGCGGAACACAACGTAAGAAAAGGCATAGATAAACATTCTGAAACACTAGCTAAATTTTAACGATATAAAGAAAACGTCTCCATGATTACTTTACTAACCACAAGGAATTTGTAAGCCCCATAATCCAGTATTAATCTCCACTCTGATTGAGTCATGGCGGACGGACACTTGCTTGTGCGAAAAGAGAAATAACTTAGATAAGGCGAACGTCAGGTAGAATGAAACCGTTGCCAAGACGAAGATGAAGAAATGTATAAAAAGGTTCCTATTCAAATTGAGAGCTTTTAAGCTTCCCCGTGAAACCTTAAGAGTAATTTATATCTTGTGTGTGAGTTTTTTGTATCTTACCTAAAAAGGTTCACATTTAGTGCATCTCTTGCTGTTATCGGAAGCCATATTGGCAGACATGGTCTAGCTTTTTAATCCCAAGTGCCTTGATAACACTGGAGCCTTGTAGGTTGTTGTGACGGATACGATCAGTCGCTGGAATTCTGGACGCTACAGAACGCAAAGGGGAGCTGACGAAGAGGTCAATTGAAACAGCAGAAAGACATACGCGGACTAGGCTTACAATACGAGTCAACTGCCGTGTGCTTTTATAAATCCAGTGCTCTACACAAATTCGGCTTCACTATTTTTATGTTTTCTTAATTAATGAGCGCTTAATGGCGATGTTATGTATGTATATGTGCGTGTTTCACCTGTCAAACTACTGCGATAAGGCTTGTTAGCTAGGCCCATATTTATTTGTGGTTTATATAACGACACTCGTAGTAGCTCAAACTATATAGCTTCGGGGTAAAGTTAGTGTGAGTCAGACGATTTATATGTTTCTGTGTGCAACATTTGAACTTGCGGTCCAGCGCGGAGCAGGAAGTCACTTGGTAAATAAATCCGTGGGTACGGTAAAGATAAATGTTAAAGTAAAGTTGTCCCTGTACATATTAATCACCGAGTCAAGGAAACGTATGGGGGGGGGGGGGGGGGGGGATTGTATGTTTCCACCCTCTTATGATCTCTGCAAGCTTTCTGCTTCGAAATGGAATGCACTCATCCGTTCTTGCTTATCATAATCGAAGTTTGATTCTCTCGATATGCAACCTGCTCAAACAGTTCGAAGTTCATTGGGCCTTGATTTAGAATCCTGGACAACTGCCGCACGGCCAATAAAAAGGTGTTTCAAAAGTTAGTAACATTGTGGGAATTAATTCTTTTTTTAATAGGTTAGGTCTGTGTATTTCAAGAATTAAGAGTCTTCATCTTAACCTGAAGGTCAGATATTACTTGGGAGTAT